ATTGTTTGTATATAAAACAAAAAAGATATCTTGCTTTCTTTTCACTCTACATAATAAATGAATAGAAATAATAAATATTAAATGATTAAAAAAACAAATAAAATGTTTAAATGTCTTCATCATGTTAAAGAAATTACACGCAAAAGAAGGCAAGGAGAAAACCAGAGAATTAAATTGCATAGTCGACGTCCAGCTTTGAAGTGGCTACATATGTCTGACCTAAATAAATCCAATTTGCATGTGCCAAAGTTAACGAATTAACGTTTATATAATAATTCTGTGCATTTTCATATTCATTTTAGTATTCATGTTGTTTTATTTACATAGAATATATTTCAAAATGCAAATTAGTTATTTTCCATATAAAATAAAAGTGATATATTCTTAAATCATCAAATTTATTGAAATATTAAAATTTCAATAAATTTGATGATTTAAGAATATATCACTTCCAATGTCCATCAATTTGAAAAACTAGTTTCTTTCGATATCAAGTAATTAGTTAGTATATATCAAACATAATATTAACCATAAATTTACGTTCGAAGATTAAATAATGTTGTAATAAATTATCATTAAATTTTCATTTAACGATATAAAATTAGCTTATAAAATGATTTTAAGATCACTCTTTATTATACATTTTGAAATACATTTTTTTATGCCAAATTTAAAAGTATGATACTTCGGAATGTGAATATTTCGAATGCTCGCTTATAGTAGCATAAAATGAGATTGAAGATCGCTGATTCTGTTCAGCAGAGAAAGCAACTCTGTAATTGTTATATTCTGTAATATGATTGATCTTGCTATTAATTCCTCATTAGGAAACAATAAATGTATAAATTTTTAATTTTTATCAATTGTATTAAAACATTTTACAACAAATGCCAAACTGCTTTCTTTGCTAAACGTAGCCAATGAAAACAAAACAAGAGAATCACAATAATTCAATATGTTAAAAAAATTATCAGAATAATTTTTAAATATTGTGCACGCGTATTATTATATTATCAATAACAAAATTGAATTATACAGTTTGACAAAATATCACTTTTCTCTATCCGAAGTGTATAGTACATACTCCAAAGATTTTTTCACGTTCAACATGATGTCGTCAGAATTTGCATAGCACATCAGAGGATTTTGAGCAAATTAGAATGAAATGGGTCCAAAAAAGGAGTTTCTATGATCCATTTTACTCTAATCTATTAAAAATCCCAACATGCCACATAAATTCTGACAACGGTATCATATTCGACGCAAAAAAATCTTTGGGATATACTATGATATTTGGGAGAAAATTTGATATTGAATCGTGTTAATATGACATAAACTGATAAGAACTTGTTAACATTCTTTTTTATAAATCTTATACAATGTATTATATACTAATATTAATACTAACAAATATTAATAAAAGAATTCATCAAAAACTAGCAAAAAAATTTAATCATTTTCTATTAATTTTTATCAGTTTTGCAAAACCAAATAACGACTATGTCTACATTTTACAATGAGAAATTTTACTTATTGTCAGCCGGAATTTTTTGCGTACAATAATACCAAGAGAGTAACGATAAATGTCGTCTCTAGTACGAAAGTTTAAGCGTTATATACTTCCATGATATAAGTAAATGCGAGCCGCAGGAAAGCTCGTCCCTTCAAACTCAGGTCGGCGAGTTAATTGAAATAAAAAGGGCGCTGAGACTACGCTCGCAGTCGTCCTTAATTGGCGACGACACAGTTGACTTACATCGCTAATTTCGCCAACGTCGAGGTTCTTCGTATCCGAGCCGGAGCCGTTGGCGTCGGGCGGCGGCCCGGAACTCGCGGGGGTCCACGGCGCGGAAATGGTGTCGGCTGCAGCCACCGCACTGCCTGTAACAAAACGAGGAACGTACTCGGTTTATTAACTTCTCTCGGAAAAATCCCAGTTTCAAGCTGCGCTCGTAGTCCAGCTTCACAAACTGACTTTACGAGATTGACCTAGATTTATTTTGCGAGACAGAAAGTTACTACTGTCTCGCAAAATGAATCTATAACCATAAATAAGCTTTTCAATAAGCTTTTTTTTAAAAATACGTTTAAAATCAAGATTGCGGTCGAACAGTGTCGAAATGTGTAGTTGAAAATAAATAAAGCGCGAAATATTAGTAAAGAGTAGTAAAATAAAAAATATATAATAAAAGAATAGAAAAAAGCTCAGGTTATTTTATTGCATCTCCGAGTAATGAAAAGTATTTTGTACGTACGTAATAATCTAAATAACAATAACAATTCCAAGCTTGATCATAATATTAACATGATAAAGTCGCGAAATTTTTCATAACAAATTCATAATAAATATATTATCTGCAGTTTGAAAATCATTGCAGCATATTCCTTCAGAACTTTTGCATACACATTCCCAATTTTATATGCGTGATTGTTTATAACACGTTCGTTACAAAATAATGAATTAATTTCGTTCGCTATCATGTAGTGAACTCAATTTTGACAATGGAATATTATCCTATCGAATTAGATTCGCGGGGAATGAATAGAGTGTAGGGGATACATTCGCGCGTTACGCATGCGGGGAGGGAAGCGAAAAAAATCAGCACGTGAAAAATCGCGACTGTGGAAGGGTAAAGGAAGGGAGAGGGGGAGGGGGAGAGCAGAGAGACGGCACTTCGTCGTCGTTCTACGCTCGTCGGAGCAACAAGTGTTCGCTGATATCGCGTATCAGTGCAGTGGGTGGGGGTAGCTCGTAGGCGGTACACTCCGCCTACCGGGGGTGGAGTGTGTATGTTAAGCCCCCAGAAAAGACCCCTATTCCCTGGCTCGGTTCGTACTACCGGTGGCGGTGCAAATCCCGATCCGTAGCAACAACCACCCCCAAGCCAAAAGCAGAACGTGCCCCCCCTCTCTTCTCGCCCTACGTTCCTCATCCCCTGTGGCATTCGTCGCGATGACGAAATTCATCGGAGAATCATTCGCGGAGGCCGGCGCGCATGTACCGGCCATTCCATGGCTCTCGGAGAATCAAGAGACGAGTAATTGTTAATTATACGCAGATATTCGTGTTACGCGTTCCTTTATGCATTTGGGGGAAAGGCCAAAGGAGGGAAAGTTGGAAATTGTTCGGCTTACTTAGTGGACCAACAGATTTGAGACAGCTGACTGTTGAGCGTCTCTTTTTCTCTTTGAAAAGCAAGTCGACAAAAGTCGATATATCTTCGAGAAAAATTATTGCATTATTAAATAATTTATTATTAAAATTAGAATTATTAAGAGCATTATTATTAAGGGCAGAACTTTCAATGGAAATTTGCTTCATCATATTTGGTATTTTATTTTAATATACATATTTCTTTTTTATTAATAAACTTTTTTATTAATAAAATTTATTTTTAGCCATTTTAAAAAGAAAGGCGTTGTATACGATAAACAATCAATGGCTGTGTTCAGCAAAAGAAATAAACAACTTTGCAATTGTTGTAAAATTCTTGAATATTAGTAATTAGTTTCTACATTTAGATCCAGTGAAGAACTAAGAGTAAGATCAATATTAAAGAATTTTACAATATTTAGTTGCTGCTTTTTCTGTTGAACGCAGTTTTCAATAAATTAAAAAATATTTTTAATCGATATAATCAAAATTAAAGAAACGAGTAAATGAAAACACTTTTATAAAAATTACATTATTGGGTTGTCCGGAAAGTTCGTGCCGATTTTGAAGGAAAATTGAAACGCAGAAGATTTAAATTTTAGTATACATTTATTAAATTATATAGGTCGGCACGAACAACTTTCCGGACAACCCAATATTATACAATGCATATATATTCATATATTCATATAAACATATGTTTATTTTTCTCATTTGTACATTTTATTTTATGATCAAAATTTTCCTACGCCTTCTCCTCCTCTCCATTCTTCTCTCCTTCTCCATTCTTATGTTGAAAAGCATCATTTTTCATATATCCGTAATATTCTTCTTTATATTATTCCTATAACACTGAAGTCCTTTTCTATAAATTTTTATAATTGTTAAAAAGTATTTCAAAATGTAGGTACTATTGTCTCTCCTAGCTTAACTCGTGAACGAACATGTACGTTTGCAACGCTTCACATAAAGATAGGCAAACTGTCAGGGGTATACGTTTCTCCTGAAAATGCACGGAAGCGAGCCGCAATCATCCGGCGGGTGGTCGTGGCTAACGGCGAACATGCTCATATGCAGCCGGAAAATGAGCGGTAGGTTAATAGAGACGCGAGATGTGGTCGCGTACTTGCGCACGTGCACGTACAGAAGCTACACGTACACGTACACACACGCGCGCGCGTGAATATGTGCTAGATCGAGCGCGCGATGCTAGAATGGCAGAAGACATAGATCATGGCGGATGACGTATGATTGCATTCGGTGCTCTTGTTGGCAACGAAGAAGAGGGGGAGAAGAGAATCGAGGTTATCCAGGGGATGGAAATGTTCAGATGAAGGATAGGGTATGACCAGGCCGAGCGTGATAGGGTGCAGGAACTTCGAGGGGGAGAACGCCTCTCGCTGGCGAAACCTCGGAATGTCCTGGCCACTACTATGATCGCGCGAGATCGCGGACGTATGCATCCTTCTCCATTATCCGCGTTGCCGCTCGGTGCCAGATATTACGCTGCTAGATTTCCCGGCTCTCGTTGAGTAATGATCGAGTCGCGACAAATTTTCGGCCCGCAAAGATGGAGGGTGCTGGGGGCGAGCATCGGTCGAATAGGCCGGATTATTCAGTAGATGCTTAGATCTCTACTAAGCCAATACTTAAGATAGCATTTGATTAATTTTGTATAACGATGTATAGTTTCTGTAAAATAATAATATTAATTTCTTTATGTAGTAGAGCTTCTTTTGAAACTTGAAAAAAGTTTTAAATTCATATCATATAAACATAAACATTGTAAAATGCATATAAAAATAAATACAGTCGTAAGGCAATCTCACGCAAATACATATCACTCCCTTCAAAAGTGATACAATTCCAAAAATAAAATCAGAAAAAGGGAAAAACTATTTTTCAACTTGACAGAAAATCATTGACCAATCAAATAATATCAACAAAAAGAATATATTCTTAATATAATCAAATTATTTTCGTTTCAGCCCTTAAAAATCATTCTTTTTTAATTATAATAATTTTTTAACCCTTTTTGAGTTGTAATAATTTTGACAATTTTTTAAATGAATTTTTTACTTTTAACGATTGATAGGATAATATTTATTTAACTTATTTATGATAATAACTACACAATCACATTTTTTTTTAGTTGTATTATTTTCAAAGCAAAGAATCAGCGATATCTTTATTTGCTTTACAAATATGATACTGTAACATCATTATTTTTCTTCCTTTCTATTTTTTTACCTTAAGAATTAGATAATTTCTATATAATTATCTAGTTTGAATTAACAAAAAATATTAGCGATATAGCAAAATAAATTTTGTTAAAGGAATGTCTAAGTACGCATAATCTAAGTTTTCTAATTTTGTTATTGTACTAATTAATTAAATCGTTAAATTACTAAATCTAGCTGAGATTCTACTGAAACGAAAATTATGGGTAATGTAGAACAACGTGCAACAGCGCGACGAATGAAGAAACTTTCGGACGGATATTCGCGAGAATGAGATCGTCCATCCACGTCCATCTTTCAACTCATCTTTACAAGTTTAGTTTTGCGCTGTACGTGCAGTGAATCCTCGATGCTCTTAGAAACTACATCATATAATTTTCATTAAATACAAAAATTATTTGTTTATCCTTATACTTTATTATCAACGTGATGCAATCTCGATATTTTTAGGACAAATAGAATAAAAATAACAAAGAGAAACATGGACATAAAATGCAAAAGCAAAATACAAATGATTTTTAAATTCTACATTATTATTTGTACATTTCAATAAAAGAAAATAAAAGCCACGCATAAACCTCGCAAAATTAATCAAAAATTTTTCTAAACTATGAATACAGTCTTCTTGGCATCATCAAAGACATCATATCAGAAACACAAGGAAAATGTTCTTGTTAATTTGTTTCCTTGAACCACACGTATAGATGAACGTATCAGTTGCGAGAAACTCTACGGCACGAGGCTAGTATATGCCGTGTTCACAGTGATAGTAGTAGTGGCACTGGCTAAGCTGTAAATTTGGCGTATAACCATTCGAGGGTGGTCCTGGTCGAGTAGGCCAGATCTGTCTCTATCTATCTCTCTCTCTCTTCCTCGTTCCGCTTTTCGGAGGTAGTCGACGAGGGGATGGGCGACAGGCAAGGGGGGTATGAGACAGGAGACGGGGGTCGTAGAAGCATTCATAGCAGGAACCAGAGGGTGGCTTCGGTGGAATGCGTCCCGTTTAATATCGCGGAACATTATATATCGCCTCTCTTGTCCCTACGTTGCTCGTGTTGAACGTGGTATAACGCATACGAACACATCCTCGCCGACGCATACACGTACATGCGACGACACCTAGCCGCTTATTCGCCACCGCCGCGTGTCCGATAACGCACTCGCGAGCTCTCGGAGACCTTTTCATAACGCCAGCAGGATCTTCTGCAAGCCATTGACAGAGTTATTTATCGCTAATCGCACGAAAGTGCAATGGAAAGATCCGATTCAGTCTGCCGACAATTTTGGCTTCTCTTAATCCTTTAATCCTCTCTAAAGGACGCACTGACTTAACATTGTAAGAAAATGTAATGAGATTAATATATCATCTCTGTTCAAAATTGAAATTATAATCCCTAAAAGCGATTAAATATTATGTAGAGTCTATCTCTTTTTAAAATTAATGAAGACTATTAAGGAGAGAGAGAGAGAGAGAGAGAGATCACTCG